GGATCGAGTTACTGACGGCTAAAGCGAGAACAATAATCAGATCTGGACTTTCAAGAAGTTAAAAATATAGAAAATAATATTTGAGAAAATATATTGCACAACTCACGTGTGATATATATCAGCTTAGATTAATTCATACTTGCACTGGATGAGCGCGATTAACACACTTCCTAATATGGTACAAATAGACCATTGATGCAACGTTTTTAAAAATTCAGGGACCATTCATATAAATTTTTAAGTTCAAAGGCAATTTTCAAAGGTTTATGGGCTAAATGACGCAAACAACTCAATAAATCAATACAGAGTAAATATTAGCCACAACCTTGTCCGTCATTGTAATTTTAAATAAAAAATAACAATAAAAAGCGGCTGAATAAACGATGCTAAGGTTGGTAGACGAGTTGTTCATCATCAGGCCTATATATCACGTCATCTCACTCAGTGTCACGTCAGTTTTTTTCTTTCCTTTCACATCTCATCACTGGACAAGGGTGCCCATCACGTCTTTTTTTCTTTTATTAACAATATATTTAAATATATTTAACTTCGGGAAGGTTGTGTATCAGGAACGCTCTCAAGGTTCTCAACATCGTTCTCCAGGATGAGTGTTGGATCGACCATTCCCAAAATTTGTTAAGAATTTCCTTAAAATTATCGTTACCACTCGAGGAATTGTAGATAGGAAGGATCCACAACTTTTTTAAAAAAATTGTCGTTGAAACGGCTAGTTGAGGACTTGAGGGTAAATATATGTGTCTGTATAGTTCAAATTTTAAAAATAAAAATTAACAGACACGACTTGTTATGTGAGTAGGTGAGTATTTTTTGTGCTTATACGCTCACTAAAACAATTTATAAAGTTATAATCAGTTATTAACTTATAAGTCAACTAATGATATTTTTTTCTCTACTTATAAATTTACTTATAAGCCATAAAAAAATAAGTATGTCTTACATACTTATTTGTAAACCAGTCTTTCTGTCCCTCTATTTTGACCATATTATTTAAAAAAACTACCTCTCACCATTTAAAAATTTTTCTAAATGTCTTACCTATCATTTAAGTTATTTTTCTTCTACGAACGAATATTTTACGTATAAATAACTTATAAGTTAAAAAATGCTTATCAACTATAACCCAATAATCATCAGCATAAAGAAACACCTGCTATATAGTGCGAATCTTTTAACGAAATATTAAATGGTTCACATAATTTTTTTCCTCTACTCAAATTCTTTTTTTCTCCTCGACTTAATTTTTATTTCAGTTTAGCATTATGATAAAAAAAGGTCACTATGTAATCATTTTTAATTATGAATAATAGTCGTTTTGTTCAAAAATGATTTACATTTTCACAATTAAAGCCTTTTGATAAGATTTGGTGGTCTGCATATTTTTATTGATTATTTGATAAAATAAAATACTTATCCATTCAAAAATAGCTTTTTTTTTGCAGTTTATGATATTTGAGTGAAATTATTTTTAAATCACTTTTTCTCAAAATGGGTGTAGAAAAAATATGGTCCCTCCCTCCCAATTTAAATCGCTTGTTTTGGTTTACGATGTTTGACTAAGCTTATTTTATTATCATTTTACATCAAAAATAGTGTAGAATTCTAAAAAAATTACTCTCTCCTTCCCATTTTAAATTGCTTGTTTTGATTTACGATGTTTGACTGGAGCTATTTTTAAATTAAATCATTTTATATGAAAATGATGTAAAATTAAAAAATAAAAATTACATATTCAAAAACTATATCAAAAGATCTATAAAACTAGTGGTGACAAGAGTATATTATTTTATCACATGACTAACAAAATAGAAAAAAAGGTTAATAAAGTTTGAACGTGTGAAAAGTGAACACGCAATTTAATTTGAGACCGAGGGAGTACATATTTAAAAATTATGCCAAAAGCTCTACAAAACTAGTGTTGACATGACTATTTTATTTTATGAAATGAATAATGAAAATATGAAAATAAAATGAATAAAATTTGACTTTTTGAATAGTAAGCGCGCAATTTAATTTGGGAAAGAGGGTATAAAAATTACATATTTAAAAATTACATTAAAAGATTTATTAAATAAGAAGTGACATGACTATATTATTTTATCAAATGAGTAACAAAAATAGATCAGAAAATGATTAAAATTTAACCTTGTGAATAGGCTATGAGAACTTTTTATGAAGTATCTTTGTCACGTCTTGGTTTGTGTAACCTTTGATATATATTTTAAATATGTATTTTTTTTATCAATTTGTAAAAAAATAATTTTACAAATCAAATAATATTACATGTGGTTCGAATAAGAAATACAATTTTGAAATGAAAAGAGTAATATAAATGCAGCTTTCATTAGTGATGAAGGATGGGCCTTACCTAATTGGGCCAGGATATGGACAAGTTCAAGCTGTGGCGGATATACTCCCTCTATCCTATTTTAAATTGTCTGTTTTTCTTTTTTCTTCATCTCTATCATATGAGTAAAATATCTAAACTACCCTTAAAATAAGTCACTTTTCTCCTCTTTATCTTCTCATTCATCGTCACCCCTCTTTAAAAGTAATGTCAATTTCAGAAAATTAACTCTTTTTTTATTTTCTTAAATATGTCCAAAAGTCAAAATAAGCAATTTAAAACGGGACGAAGAGAGTAAGAATTTGGAGAATTAGTGGCAACATTGTTGCCCCCGTTTTTTAGTTGGCATTATATAAAGACAAAATATGTGATAAATTTTAATTCAAATATTATTAAATATGATTTTTTTCAAAAAGACAATGTAAAATTTTATTTTTTAACAATTTATTCTTATGCAATAAAAGTATAAAACAAACTTAATTAAGGTCCTCTTAATTCTCGGACGAACAGAGTTTTTTTAGAGTGGTCTCAATATATTTATGGGAGAAAGACCAAAGTAGGACTAAAACTTTGAAAATATACCAAAATAGGACTTCCATGTTTTTTTCCCGAAATAGGACTTACATTACAAACCATAGTCATATACATTACCAAAAAACATAGAAATTTGCACATGTACACTGTCACATTACCACAATGCAAGGTCGCATTATCACAGTGCAAAGTCCTATTCCGGGGAAAAAAACATGAGAGTCCTATTTTAGTACTTTTATCTATGTTTTAGTCCTATTTAGGATGATTTCTATATATTTATCTGCTTTCAATTTAAAAAATAAAAAGCAAACATTGATTTATACTCCAACTTTTCAACCTAAAACTGAAAATGAGAGCATAATGAGGGGTGTTCAATCGGATCGATTCGATCCGATCCGAAAATTCGGATATCCGAAAATTTCGGATCATGTAAAACTCATTCAATATCCGATCCGAAAAATATTTGAATATCCGAAATTTGGATATCCAATTTTTCGGATTGGACCGCTGGATTATCTGAAAAGTTGAGTTTTTAGCAAAAATTTACAAAAAAAAAAGGTAAAATAGCAAAATCAACCAAAAATATCAAATTCAATATAAATTTATTAAAAGAAAAATTCCACCACTAGGTAGTGGCCTAATAAAAAAAATGATACCAAATTTAATTTGGGAGTAACTTTGGTAATTTTGCCTAAACAAACAAAAAAACACTATTAAAACAAAAGATTCTAAAATGCTAATGTAAAAGTTCAAAATGGTTGAGTTCCAAAATCAATATAAAATTACATTTAAACATATAGTCATAATATATATCCATAAAATTCCAAAAATTGAATCCATATCCGATCCGATTTTTTTCGGGTATTCGATCCGAAATATTCGAAAGCTAAAATATCGGATCGGATATCCATTTTTCAGATCGGATCAGCCCGGATCGTGGACGGATATTTCGGATCGGATATTTTTGAACACCCCTAATAATGATCACCTCTTTTTTCTTTCCTAGCCCGATGTGTCAAAAATAAAATGAACAAATTCACCATAAAAAATGGGGCTTTAAAACGACATTTTTGTACAATTGAGAATTTGAAAATGACATATTTGTACTTGTCATGTGAAAATCTCATCTACTAACCATTTTAAATTAAGGGTAACTAAAGGTCCGTTTGGTACACGGTATTAATGGAATTGAAATTAAAATTTCATGAAATTGAATTCATCAATTTCAATTCATTTTTTGCACTACCAATTCCAAATTCACATAATTTTTGTGCTACCAAACACAAGAATTGAAATTGAAATCCTCAATTTTAATTCCATAGTTTGAATTCCGTATACCAAACAGAGCATAAGTGAATTTTAAAATTTAAATTCTTGGTGCAACTAGATAAGAAATTTGTTTCAAATCCCAAATGCAAATAAAATTATCTATCTTGTTCCTAATATCAATTTTGAATATTAACTTTTCCATTGTTATAAATATCTCAAACCGTAAATCCCCCCCCCCCCCCCCCCCCCCCCCCCCCA